TTATTGTTACAAAAAAAAATGGTAAAAGGTAGTCCAGTCCAGCTGATGATTGCTTCACAAGTAGCTATTTTTTACAAAGTGAGCCAATTTTATTTTATTTTGGAGGTGCTAAGGATTGCATGAGGGCCCTGCACATAGTAGGCAAGCACTCTGCTACTGAACTACATTCCCAATCAATTTCTCCCTGTTGAAAATTTTTAGTAAAAACAGAGGGATCATTGATATTTATGTCATATAATTTGATGTTTCAATGCAAGCATACAATTTACAGCTAAGTATAGTGGTACGTGCCTGTGATCCTAGCACTCAGGATATTGAGGCAGAATGATCAAGAGTTCAAGGCTATGTAGTGAGACTATCTCCAAAAAACAAAAACAAAACCAACCAAACAAAACCAGAAAACAAATATACAATGTATAATGTTCAAATTGGATAATTAGTATTTCCATTCTTTCAAAGACTGATCATTTCTTTGTGTTAAGAACATTCAAAATCCTTTCTTCCAGCTGTTTTGAAATAAACAATGAATTACTGTAGCTACCCTACTGTGCTATAGAACTCTAGGACTTTTCCTCTTTTCTAACTGTATTTGGTACCTGTTTTCTAACCCCATCTCAACTCTCCTTCTCGTCTAGTGGTCACTATTCTATTCTCCACTGTAAAGGCAAGGTTTAAGTAAATAAAAATATAGGCTATGCTTAGATCTGACGTAAAACTCAAAAGTTGAGGTTTAGGCAGCACTGGCACTGTAATGATGCTGACGGTATGTGTCAGACAGTCCATGGGCTTTGAGTTCTATCTGGTGCCTAGTTGTACTCTCTTCAGTGTGGTGTTTTTCTGTAGTCCAGGTAAAAACCTTTCTAGTCTATGAGATAGTAGGGATTCGGACAGTGAAGTCTTAGGGGGTTAGTGGGAAATCTCATCATCTAGGGTTAGATTTGAAAGAAATCTTAGCAATTGCCTTGACTCACCCTCCACAATTCAAAGGATCAGGTTAAAAGAGGTTTAGGTAGATTACCATCAGTCACCAGCAGCTGCCATGACAAAATGGATTAGACTGGATGGCTTACACAATAGAAATCCATTTTCTCAGTTTTGGAGACTGAAAAAGCCCAAGGTAAGTTTCTGATAGGCTTTGGTGCTGGCAGGAGCTCTTCCTAGACTTATGCTGTGCCCTCGTATTGTGGGAGAAAGGAGAAGTCTTTATCTCCTCCTAAGGTACATGGAAAGAGCTCCCCATTCTTATGAACTCACATAACCCTAACTACCTTCTAAAGACCAGATCTCCAGATAGTCATGCTGGGACTTAAGGTGCCACATATGAATTTGGAGGAAACCCAGTGTAGTCCACAGCAATCACCCAGAGTTGTGTCAGTAGTAGATTCTGGATTCTGGTTGATTTTTGAGGTGAATTTGAACTTCAATTGATTCTGAGAATGAGTTTAATTATTTTGCAACCTATCTAAACCTGGGCTTCATTTCCTACCATTTTAAACTTTTTATTCTAAATTCCATGTATGTGTGTAGAAGGGTGGGGTGTGTGTATGTGAGTGCAGGTGCCCTCAGAGGACATGGGCATTCGATCCCATGATGCTGGAGTTAGAGGCAGTTGTAAGTTGCCCAACATGGGAGCTGGAAATTGAACTTGGGTCCTCTGCAGGATCAGCACATGCTCTTAACCACTGAGCAATCTCTCCATCCCTATCCTATCAATATTTTTATTTTTAAAATGAACTCATGAAATAGTTTATCAGAATCAATACTAATTGGGCACTGTGTACAGTTCTTGATTGGCAAAATATGAGAAAGATTGCTATCTTGATCAGGAAAGAAGTAATAATAAAAAATATGGTATGCCAAACGACGATTTCTTGCCACTCTAAAGTGTATGTCTATGTAACATAAAATATGTAATCATGATGTTAGTTGTGGGTTTTTTTATATATAGCTTTAACTGTGTTGAAGTATGTTCCCTCCAGTCCAATTCCCTTTAGAACTTTTATCATGAACGCATGTTGATGTGATATGGCACCTTCTTGACCATAGCTATGCCATGTTGAAGTTTAGGCTGACTCTAGCCTCTGAAATTATCAGGAAGTTGGCTGAGGGTATAGGAACACACATCAGCAGGACCCCAGTTGTCTTGGGAACAAGTCAGCATGTTCCAGAGTGTACCTGCTAACTGCAGATTTACAGCTTCTGTAAGTTATGCTTGGCTTACTTCTGCAAAGTAGTAATTGTTGCTTAACAGAATAGAAATTGCTAAGGGGCCTTTCCACCTGTAAGCTTGGGAAGTTAAACTTCTCACCCTGGTTATGGTTTCTCTGTATAAAATCTTGCTCTGGAGACACCTCGGGACTGCACTTGGGTTCCAACACCCTTGTGTAGTCACTGGCCAGCTAGTAAAAGACTTTCATTTGGCAAAACTTTGTCTGAGTGGTCTTATCTGGTGAAGCACCTCACAACATTGAATTTTGTTGAAGGCCTTCTCCGCATCTATTGAGATGGTGATGTATTTTTTTTTTTGTCTTTGAGTCCATTTATTTGATTTATGATGTTTATTGACTTGCATATATTGAGCCATCTCTATGTCTCTGGAATAAAGTCTACTTGAGCATGGTGAATGATCTTTTTGATGTATGTCTGTATGCATTTTTCAAGTATTTTGTTTAGAATATTTGCATCTATGTTCATTAAGGATATGGATCTATGGTTTTCTTTCTTTCTTGTTTTTTGGTTGTGTCTTTACCTGGTTTTGATATTAGAGTGATGCTGGCTTCCTAGAAGAAATTTGGGAGTTCTTCCTCTGTTTCTATCTTTTTGAATAATTTAAGTAGTCTTGGTTGGAAATCTTTAAAATATTTTATTTATCATTTTTATTTTACATGTATGAGTGTATTGCCTGCATGTGTGTTAGTGTACCCATGTTGTGCAATGCCTGCAGAGGACAGAAGAGGTTGTTGGATCCCCTGAGACTGGAGTTTTGGACAGTTGTTAGCTGCCATGTGGGTGCTGGGATTTGACCTTAGGTTTTCTGCAAGAACAACCAAGTGTTCTTAACCACTGAGCCATCTCTCCAGCCTGGCAATCTTCTTTAAATGTCTGGTAGAATGCTGCTGTAAATCCATCTGGGCCTGGGCTTTTTTTAGTCAGGAGGTTTTGTATTACTGTTTCAATTTCCTTGTATGTTATGGGTCTGTTTAAACTGTTGATCTCTTCTTGGTTTAACTTTGGTGGTTCCCATGATGTTAGATATTCATCTATTTCTTTTAGGTTTTCAAATTTAATAGAGTATAGGTTTCTAAAGTATTCCCTTATAATGTTCTGGTTCTTTTGGGTGTCTGTTGTGATGTTTCCCCTTACATCTCTGGTTTTGGATTTGCTCTTTCTTTCTTTGGGTTAACTGGGATATGGGTCTATCTTGTTTATCTTTTCAAAGAACTGGCTCTTAGATTCATTTTTTTCCTTTGTTTCTATTTCATTAATTTCTGCTCTGATCTTTGTTATTTCTTCTTTTCTGCTGGGTTTGGGTTTCATTTATTCTTGCCTTTCCAGAGTCTTGAGTTGCAGTGTTAGGTCATTTATTTGTGTTCTGATTTTTTTTTCTTTTTGTCTTTTTTGAGACAGGGTCTCCTTGTAGCCCCAGCTGTCCTGGAACTCACTATATAGACCAGGCTGGCCTCGAACTCACAAAGATTCACCTGTCTTTCTGATTTTTTAATGTAGGCACTTCCCTCTTAGGACTGCTTTTAAAGTGTCCCAGAGGTTTCGTTGTGTTGTATTGTCCTTTTCATTTAATTCCAAGAATACTTTAATTTTTTCCTAATTTCTCCTTTGACCCATTCATCATTCAGCAGTGTGTTGTTTAATCTTCATGAGTTGGTGTAGTTACTGGAGCTTCTTCCGCTGTTGATTTTAAGCTTTATTGCATTGTGATCTGGTAGAATGCATGGAATTATTTCAATTGTTTTGTATTTGTTGAGGTTTGTTTTTGCCTTCAGGATGTGGTCAATTTTTGAGAAAGTTCTATCGGGTATTGAATAGAAAGTGTATTCTTTGGTGCTTGGGTGGAATATTCAGCTCTCTGTTAGGTCCATTTGCTGTATGGTATCATTTAAATCAGATGTCTCTCTGTTTATTCTTTGGCTGGTTGACCTGTCTAATGGAGACAGTGGGGTATTAAAGTTCCATACTGTTATTGAATTGGGGTTAATCTGTGTCTTAAAGTCCTGTACTGTTGTTTTAGGAATTTGTGTGCATCAGAGTTTGGTGCATATCTGTTCATGACTGTAATATCTTCTTGGTTAATTGTTCCTTTGATCAGAATGAAGTGACCCTTTTTATCTCTTCTGATTAGTTTTAGTTTGAACTCTGTTTTGTCAGATATTAGAATTGCAACCTCTGCTTGTTTCTTAATGACATTTGCTTGAAATATTGTTTTCCATCCTTTCACCGTAAGGCAGTACCTGTCCTTCAAGGTGAGATGAGTTTCTTGCAAACAATAAAAAGATAGATTTTGTTTCTTAATCCATTCAACTAGCCCGTGTCTTTTGACTGGGGAGTTCAGTCCATTGATATTTAAAGTTGTTATTATTGAATGATGTATATTTGTTACCATCATTTTGAATACTCCTTGCATTCTTTGGCTAATTTTGTGTTTCCACAACTATATCTTCTTTTAGTTTCTTTCTGTTGTCCCTGGGGTATAGTTGTTCCTTTCTCTGCTCTCTGTATTGCTTCTAGTATTCTCTGAAGGGCTGGTTTTGTGAACATGTATTCTTTCAGCCTATTTGTGTGGTAGAAGATTTTTCT